GATTGTGTCTAATTAAGTACCAAAACAATTAATCTAAATTTATTTGAACAATCGAAAAGATGGAATTTTAATTAAAATACAAAAAAAACTAACAATTAAAATAAAACTAACCAAGATATGAAATACTAAGGCATTGACTTCACCATAATCAATCAATATAAATTCTGAATTATCAAATTGTTGAGTGTTATTGCATGTGATGGCGGATTTCCCTAAATTTAAATTAATTAACTAGCTTTCTCAAGTCAAGTTAATCCTTCACTGGTTTGTTAAATTAATCATATCTCTATGTAATTTTAAACAAACTAATGAGCATTGGATTCTATGAAAACCTCTAGCTTAAGAAGGGGGAGCTACTAACTCTCTTCTCTTCCTCCACTACCACATGTGAGCTAATTACCTCTCGGTCTCATAGTCTAGCACACGGGTTATATTATTATTGGTTTAATCTACGCAATTCTTTCTCAAGTTCATGCATAAATCACTAAATCAATTGAAAGATGATCAGACTTCCAATGCATTAAGTTCAATAATATAAACTCCTCACGCAAATAACTTTAATTGAAAGAATAAAATCACAAAATCCATATTAAATTGATTAGGCTACATCGTAGCCCTAATAGAATAAATCAGTTCATAATAAAAAGAATAAAATCTACAATCATAGTTATGAACAAGGAAGAATAAAACCTAATTTGAGAAAATTGCAATCCTTGATTTTCTATTGTTGAATCATCTATCTTGACCTCCAAGAGTGCCCAAAAGAGGGCTGCCACCAGCCTCCCAAAGCTCTCTCAATTCTGAATTTGGATGGGTATTTATAGGATTTTAGAAACCCTAATTGAAATAGAAGTAGGACTTGGAATAAAAATAGGAAACTGAATTTTAAATGCTGATCGCGTGGTGCTGACACTTCGGATTACGTGTTGACACCAAATAGGAAACAGAATCTGATTCTGGACGTTTAGCGCATGGTGTCGATACCCCGATCATGTGTCGACACTACACCCGTATCGGGTTTTTGGCCTCCTTTTGCAATTTCTTCAATGGTAAAATAACAGAATTGGTTCCTGACTTCTGGGTTCTGCACAAGTTGATCCTCAAGTCTCTAATCTCTTCAATTTACTTCTAAAAAGTATGATTTCTTCCAATTAAATCCTTTCCTACACAAAAAATGAAAACCATGTAAAATCAAACCAAATCTCATAAAACCCATCCAAATATCAATAATATCAAAGTAAAAATTCTCTATTAATATGTATATAAATTTAGCTCATCATGGCCCTGCAACACCTTTTGCAATTGGTTCAGGCCATGTTGATATACAGAAAGCTTCTTATCCAGGATTGCTATATGACATCCACCCTCATGAGTATTTGCATTACTTGTGTAGCCTCAATTATAGTCCTTCTCAGATAACCTTATTTGATCGG